GGAGCGCCGCCGCGCTTCCCAAGCGGCGCACTATCCAGTGCGCCACCGGGCCGGCCCCTATACTTGAAGATTTTGACATTGTTTCTCTCATAGCACCAGCATGATACAGAATCATATTTTTTCAGTTTCAGAAATGAAAAATGTCACTTTTCTGTTTTAATTTCCATTTATATGAACATCTTAGAATGTATTTATTAGCCATGTGTGTTTCTTTGGGGTGTGTGACTTGTCTGCTCATGTCCTTCACCAAATTTCATTTAAGATTTTTCTAATTCATTTTAAAGAGTTCTTCATGCATTAAGAATGTTAATCTTTGTGTGTTAAATTTTTTCCTTATCAATTGACTTTAAATTCAATTTATGATGTTTTCCTTCATTTGTATGTTGAGAAAATAATTTTTTTAAAAAAAAGATGACTGGTTAGGGGATCTTAACCCTTGACTTGGTGTTGTCAGCACCACGCTCAGCCAGTGAGCAAACCGGCCATCCCTATATAGGGATCTGAATCCTTGCCCTTGGTGTTACAACAAGGTGCTCTAACCAATTGAGCTAACCAGCCAGCCTCTTTCCTTGTTTTTTTTTAAAGCTAAAAAAAAAAAAAAAAAAATCCATTGAGCGTGCATCACTCTGCCAGTTTTGATTTGAGCCCTGCTAGGTGGTGTGCTATATAGATTAGAAAAGGACAGATAACTTGCAGATGCCACAGAGTTATCTGCAAGGCTGATATAAGTGGACCCAGGACCTGAAGGCCCTGCGTCTGGCTCTTCCCTTGCAAGTTGTGGCCTGGGATGGGCTGGTACCACCCATGTACCAACCCTGGTGCCGGGACCTAGCAGACGACCGACACAGTCTGTTCCACGGAGGGTACGAGGCATTGCCCAAGGACCCCTGCTGCTTTTAGAAGGGCAGCGACTTTTGGAAACCCCCAGATGCCAGGTGTACAAGCAGCTTTCCTGGCCTGCTGCAGGCCACCAGCCCCAGAGAGCAGGCGAGGGTCTACAGGTGAGGCTCAGACTCACAGGGTGGACACTGAACAGGATGGCCCGGCCCCTCCTCACCTCGCAGGTTTCGGATGAAGTCCTCCAGCATCATCTTCCGGTCGGGTTTGATGTTGGGGCTGTACATGTCGGTGTTGAGCAGGATGATGGCAAAGGCGAGGATGAAGATGGTGTCGGGGTTGTGGAACTGCTGCACCACCTCGGGGTTGCACATGCAGTAGCGCTGGCTGGGGGCGGGGGAGACACGGGACTGAGCCCCTCCATCCTCCAAGCTCCAGCAGTGGGGGCCGTGGCCAGGTATGCTAGCTCTCTGAGGGCCTTAGGCCCAGGGAGCTGTCTGCCCTGCACCCTGGTCCTCTTCCCCACCGAGGGGACAGGCTGGTGTCACCCCCCAATGTCCCACGGTGCTAGCCTCGCACAGATGAGGATGAGGGAAGAGCAGTCCACCTGGGGGGCCAGAGTCACTTCCAGCTTGGAGAGCTCCAGGGAGTCCATTTTCTTTCCTTCCCTCCTCCTGCCTATCCCAGAAGGGGTTCTCCCAGCTCGCCCTGTCAGCACCTCCTGGCGTCAAGCTCACAGCAGCTCTGTTTCCCCACCCTCCCCACGTGTGGAGCTGGGAAGGGGTCCTACCTGAAGGCCTCTATGAGCCGCTCCACCTTCTGGGCCTCCCCCTGCACGCGGATGTGAGCCTGGAACTTGCGCAGGGCCTCGTCCAGCTCCATGCTGGAGAAGTCCATCTCGTCCACCACGCAGCTGAGGGCAGGCAGAGGAAGGGGTGAGGAGGGGCTGCCCCTGGGCTCCCCTGCACCTGGGGGTGGGGGAGGTGCGGGGCCTCCCAGGTTTACTCACCCTGGGGCCTCCCTTTAATGACCCAAGAGGGCTGCCTTCCCTCCCACCTCTTGTCTAACACAGCAGCCCTGTGAGGCAGGCCAGAGACTGGCCCCTCCATCTCACAGCCAAACTCGAGGCCCAGGGAGGTCAGCTGGCCACCCATCCCCAGGAAATCCAAGCCCCAAGTCCTTCTGCTCAACCTCAGAGCATCTCAGAGCCAAAGCAAGCTCTGCAAATGGAATAAATGCAATGTGTTCTCGGGTTCTTCCAAAAACCTGTAGGAGCCTGTGTTTCCCTTGGTTTGATTTTCATGTTCCCATTTGGGTCTCTGGGTGACTGAAACCTGCCTGTCTACCCTCTGCCTTCGAGCAAATGGCCAACCAGCTGAGCCACCCTGTGCTCCGGGCCTTCACTCACAGCTCGCTCATAAGGCCTCGCTCACTAGCTCTTGGGTGGCTGTGGCAGGAAGGCCGAGGCCTCTGAAGAGGAGACTAGAAATTTAGCTTAGTGTGGGAGGGGACAGTAGGACAAAGGGCCAGATTCTGGTCCTGGCCCTCCTCTGACCTTTGCGTGACTTTGGCTCACAGACTCGCCCTTGGAGCCTCAGATTGTTCTTCTGAGAAGGGAGGAGGCTGGAGTCCCTGTCCCCGAAGGGCCTTTCTGCCTGAGATGCCACCTGCAGCCCTGGAGGGCTTGCCTCTGTTTGCTGCAGTACGTGGGAGGACAGCCCCCACCTAGCAGTCTCCTTCCTCTGGCCTGGCCCACTCCTGGGGCCTGCATGCCATGGCGTCTGGGCCAGGACTCTCTAGTCCCCCATCCTGCCTTGTCCTCCTCTAGGTGCCTCTGTCCCCAGGTCCGCACACAGGGAGGCCGGAGTTTGGACCACAGGGCAGCAGCTCGGTGCCCCTGAGCACGGTCCTTTCCTTCAGCAGAGGCTAAGGGCAGAGCTCACTGCTCTCTGCACCTGCTGGTTGCTCTCCAGCCCCTCACTGCCACCCTTCACCACCTGCCACCCCACCTCTGCTGTCAATTTTTAGAGGAAAGCCAGGGACACGGCATGTGGCAGTGGTCAGGGTCCTGTGAGAGAGGCGAGGCAGGCATTTGGCCCAAGTATGAGACTTGGCACTGTCCCTTTCTGGGCATTTGAGATGGACGCCTGAGCAGCAGGGGCCGCCAGGTCCATCCAGGCGAGAGGCCACTCCAATTTCTCGGTGGCCCTTGCCACCTCCAGCCTGCACCCTCCCCAGCTGAACGTGAGCTCCAGGGCAGCATCACAGGGCCCAGCTCTGTGTGTCCCTGCAGCCCGGCCCTGTCGAGAGTTAGGAGCCTGTGGCCACAAGCCAGGAGGGCTGTGGCCGGGAGTGACAGAGGAAGAAAGCCTGTGAGAGAGGTGAACCAGCAGAGCCACGCAGCAAGGGGACCAAGCGCCAGAGCCAGGGAGACAGGACAGGGAGAGAGACAGGCCAAGGACAGGGAGAGACAGAGGTGAGGAGGCGGAGAGAGAGGAGGAAGGAGAGAGGGGGCGAGAGGAAGACAGGGGAGCAAAAAGGGAGAGGGACTGGGAGAGTGAGAACAAGAGAGAAAGAGAGACAAGGAGAAGAAGAGGAAAAGGCCAGGGGAGGGACAAGGAGGGGACGAGGAAGAGGCAGAGCAGACAGACGGAGGAAGGCTGGGAAGAGGGCACAGACGATGGGCTCCCCCGGGCACCCCGAGCTTGCCAGACGCAGAGGCAGCGGTGGACCTGCCTTCCCTGACTGAGCGCCCGGCTCCTTGGAGGCCTGGAACAGCCCTCGGTCCCTCTGGCCTGGCATCCGGCCCCTCAGCCTGGGGCCCTGGGACCTGGTGCTCCTCATCTGTGTCCCGCCAGAGCCTGTCTCCTGCGCCTTCTGCCCACGGGTGGGGACGGCCCAGGCCGTGGGGGGAGCGGCCGAAAGAGGCAGCGGGAGCAGCTGGAGAGGGTGGATCTGCTCAGCCAAGCACGATGGCCTAGTTTCCACCCTTTCACGCAGGTGACATGCAGCCCGCTGCCTCGCTGCCTCGCTCCGCTCCGGGCTGCGGCTAAAAGCTCCAGTAACGAACCGAGAGCCCCCGGCCAGAGGGGCAGCCGGGTGGACCCGAGAGCGCTGAACACATCAGCCGCGGCTGGGGGTGGGAGGACGTCAGGGGAGGACACCGGGGCCTCAGGCACCTCCCAGTGTGTGTTCTGAGGACCCCACACTATGGTCACGAGGGGGTTGTTAAAACGCAGATCCCTGGACCCCAGCCCAGGCCTGGAGAATTGGAACAGTGGAGGCCCGGGGCAGTGTTCTTTAGGCACTTGCTCCAGCAATTGTTAAAATGCGACAGCGACACTGAGCTGAGAGCTGAGCGCGCGTGCAGGAGGGCCTGGCCCGTCCGAGGCTTCTGAACTGTGAGCCAGCAACTCAGGGGCCACCAGGGCAGCACCCTTGGGCACGTGCGGGGGCTGCTTTGCAGTGGAGGTGGTAAGGGAGGAGTGGGTGGAGGCACGGACAGACCCCGTCCCGCTGCCTCCCCCTGTCTCCCGCCTTCTCCCTGCAAGTGCCACCAGGGGCAGTGGTGTTTGAGGAGCAGGTGCTGTCCAGGGCTTCTCAGATCAGGGAAAACTCAATATTTTCTGGCTGCAAACCCCCAGACAGAAGGAAGACGCCGTGCTGAGAGGGGAAAGGTGCCACTATCCCCCACGAGGCAGGTCACTTCCTCTCTGTGGAGCTGGGGTTGGACCAGGTGACCTCTGAGGACTCTCCCCAACTCTGGCATTCTCTGACTAGGACCCAGAAGCAGACACCCCGCAGTGGTTCTCTAAAGGCCCTGTGAGGGCGGGCTGGTTGGCTCACTTGGTTAGAGCACGGTGCTGATAACACCAAGGTCCAGGGCTCACCTCCCCCCATGGCCAGCCACCAAAAACACAAAAACAAAAATAAAGGCACCGCGGGCACTGCTAGAGCACCGCAACCGCACCTGCAGCTGGCTCCCGAGTGCACCTCCCACCCTCCTCCCAGGGAGCCAGCGCTTGCCTTCCACAGTCCTTGTCCCCTGTCCCCGAGAGCGAGCCTTCTTCCCACTCCCTAAGCACAAGCTTCAGCCTGCCCTCGGCCTTCTGTCTCTCCACTGCCTCTGCTCCTCCGACAGCGCAGTGTCTTCCAGCGCTTCAGTTTTCCCCCTTTCCATCCTCGGCCGCCCCACATTGCTGGCAGGGAGCAGACTGTTGACAGTTCACCAGATCCATCCTGCTGCCGTGGCCAGGGCAGCAGACAGTCAGCTCTCCCTCATCGTCTTTAAGTGCCCATTTTACAGAAGGCAATACCAAGACCACACAGGGGCTTGCCCCATCCTCCCACTGCCAGGAAGAGCAGGGTCTCAGCTTCCTGGTCTGTCCACTTTAGCCCCGGGTGTGGGTGTGGGGCCGAGGGGGCTCCTGATACCCGTGGGGGAGGCTCCCTCCGAGCTCTTGGTTACTGAGTATCACTCTCGGTGCTGCACCCAATGTGCAATGTCTTAATCTTCTCAAGCCTGTGCTATATTAGCCATTATCCCTGCTATTTTGTTACATACGAAGAAACTAAAGCTCACAGGAGACTTTCAGGGGGACTGTGCACAGCTCATTCTGGCTGTGTCCTGGGCTGGGCAGGCCTGCCAGCCCTGTCCCCCCAGCTCTCTCCTGCTTAGTGGCTGGTGCTAATGCCTTTCTCCCTGGGGACAGCTATCTTCCCCAGTGCCTGGTAGGGCCTGTGAGGGGCCAACGGGGACACTGGCACTGTCACAGAGGCAGGACTGTTGATGTGTGAAGAGTCACATCGCCGTCGGCAGGCAGGCAGCACAGAGGCCTTGTGGGTCACCCTGCAGGTCTAGAGCTGGCCTGGGCACACTGAGCCCACAGCAGGGGCTCACATCCCAACCTCCCATCTTCCCCTGTCTGGTGCTTTTTCTGACCCCTGGTAGCAGTGGGCTGGCTTTCCTCCTTTCTACAAACATGCATAGAGTGGCTCCCATGTACAAGGCTGTGCTAGGGACCTGGTATAAGTGGCAAACAGCACAAACACAGACTGTCCCAGTGGAAGAGACAGACATTAAACTCAGTCAAAAATAATTACTTAACTACAATTGTGACAAGTACTATGTAGAGATGGAATGAGGTTCCACGAGAGGACAAAGGAGACATATCTTATATTGCTGTGTCTGGAAAGGCCTCTTTGGGGACATGACATTTCAGCTGAGATCTGAAAAATAAGTATGAGTTGACCAGGGGGGAGGTGGGGGGAGCATATGCAAAGGCCCTGGGGTAGGAAAGAATTTTCAGGGACCTAGAAAGGGTCAACAAAACTGTAACACAGACAGGAACGGGGAGAATGTGGACGCTGAAGGCAGCAGGGAACAACAGGAGGGTGTGGTCAGAAGAGTGACAAGGTCCTGTTTGTTTTAGAGGATTTCTCTGCTGCTGGGGGCAGAATGAATGGAAGGGGGGAGGGGCGGGGAGCACGAGTGGGCGGGGCCAGTTAGGATGCCAGTGCGCAGGTGCCAGCTGGAGGCAGCCGTGCTCCGGCTGACGTAGCGCAGTGGAGACAATCCGAGAACACGATCCAAGGTCCTGCTTAGCAGAAGAACTGATAGGACCAGGTGACAGCGTGGACGCGGGAAGTGAGGAGAAGGAGGCATCGGCGGTGAGACCCAGAGCCCCGGCTTGTGCACCTGGGGCGCGGGACTGTGCTGCAGGATGAGCACATGATGGGGCGGCCACTCAGGCTGCAGGACACAGTGAGCTCAATGTGTTTGGGACACGTTAAGTTGGAGATGTTCTTTCATACAGTTACAACTTCTCCCTCCCTACTAAATCTTTCTCATTAGCACCATATGCTTGTCTTTTGTATTTTACAGATTGAAACCCTGCCGTGACCCTTCATTGC